AAGTTCAGTGCAATATATACTACATTTAAAAACAAGAAAAGAATGGTCCGGAGTGTTGCGGAATTTCGAAGATTTGTTGGTGCCCTCTGCAGGTTAAGCCGGGTGGTATCTGGCTAGGCTCTGGCAAATTGAATTCGCAGAGCCGCGCTGTGTGGTAGGAGAGACACACGTACAACGACGATGTTCGGCGGCATCGCGCACTCGCTAGCGTCGATGCTGCTGTCGCACGTGACGCCAAAATCGCGTGGTTAGCGGTATATATACATATATATATATATATATATATATATATATATATATATATATATATATATATATATATATATATGTATAATAGGTGAACAGAGTTTCTTCTGCCTACCGTAACGAAAATTATAAACTTCGAGAATAGTGCCGTATAGGAAACAAAACAATAATTGATTTGTTTAGCGCTAACAGTTTCGGCCGGTAAACCAGCCTTCTTCGGTTCTTCGGAGGATCTAAGCCAAAACACTCCGAAAATCCTTCGCTTAGATCTGAAGAAGAATATGAAACACACTAAATCACCGCGGTGGTTCCCTACACGTGCTTTTTCTCGCAAGCTGCTTAAGGCTGCACGCAACGCTGGCGTCGTCACAAGCGTTCGTTAGTTTGTTTTACTGGTCGGCAGAAGACGCGGCAATCAGCAGACACCCGCGATATTGCGCAATTGGGAGTCCGAATTTTGATACACGGGGCCTGTGGGGAGTTTCGCAACGCCTAGATGATGGAATAATCGACTGCGTATATATGTTCCACCTAAGTAATGTTTTGCCTACTAATGGCGCCATTATCGAAGTACCAGCGAAGACAGGACCACACTGTAGCCCTTGCCCTGTCTTTTATTATAGTGTACCCTCGGGACTGTAGTGTTTCTACGACCTCCGAAAAAGCCTGTGCAACTTACGTAGCCCTACGACTATATTATATCGCTCTGTTCACTTAATACCCAGTGTCGATAATATCCTGACCACTATGTGGACGAATCAGAAAACTGACCTCCACACTGTTTTGAGAATCCTGGGGTAAACGACCAAGCTTGCTGTTAGTTTGCTCTTTCATCCCAGTTTTGTATGTACTCTGTAAAGTGAGCTGAACCTTTCACTGGCGTAAACAAGGCTCTTCAACTTTCCGGCGCAGATTGGATTGACTTTAGAGCGTACAATACAATACCAGCAAGATATGCATCTGAAAAATAAATTCTAAACTGAGGGACTTTTAAGCTTTACGTTTTGGGGTTGTACGAGATCCCCTGAACCGTATAGAGTTACTTATATATACACTAGAGGGAACTTCGACGCTAGTGTCTATGGGATATGCAACGCACGGCGCTTCAGTGAGCATTTTAATGGCGAGTAGCAGACGGATTTGTCTCATTTTCGTACTTCCAGCTCCGGCTGACTTCGCATGGCTTGAAGTTGCTCTGTTACGCAACAACGAGCGGCAAGTGTTCGGCAGTTGCACTTCACTGCTTTATCCTTTTAGGCTGACCATTTTAATCGGCTCACGAAGTTCATGACCGTCCGTTCTTTAAATCGAAACAAAACAAAAACACAGCAATGAACGAAGCCACAAGCGAGTTCGAAGCCAGCGAGCACGAAGAGGAAAATCCGCGGACTACCCATTATTCCCAAGGTCGCTGAACGATCGCAGCGCCAGTCCCATCTAGTTAATTTCAGAAAACTCTTGGCCTCCAACCACAAACACGACAATCTGACAACTTCAATGGCGCCTTATGAGAACAGTGTGCCTACACATGTCTGCATAAGAGAATGTGCGCACTAATGCTTGTGCTCTTTGTAGCCTATTAAATGCATTTGTGGCGACTTTTTGTCACGGACAGTGGTTATTTTTGGCTCAAGACCAGCGACACCGATAGCGGCATTTCTCCGACACGGGCTCTTTAAGGATGTATCGCGTTGAAAGCAATAATAATTGTGACGAGCCAGACATATCGTCATGTACATGGCCACATCTTGGTACACTGGAGATGGAAAGGAACGAGAACAGTGCGGCATCTACACTGTATCCTGTTTCGTATATTTGTTGTCGAGTGGTTCTAGCTTGGATAGCAATCAGAAGTGACTGTAGCGTGAGATATGATACTATCAAGAACCACTCTGGCGTCTTTTTATTGCCACCAAATTCAGACCTTTATGAAAACAGTGCACCGCACTGTCCGCGTTGTTTCTTTCCATCCCCGCTTTACATCTTTATTGGTAAATTTAGTGGCCGCTTTGAAATTTGGTAACATTCATTCAGACCATGCTTAATCTTAACTCTGTCCTGCAATAAACGTCTTCTATGTCTACTGAGTGCTATCGTTTTTTTATAGCTGTTACCATGACTACGACGCTTCCTTTCAAGTTTTGTCGTGTTGCTGCAAGCAACGCATCGTTGTTTTCTACATATATGTAGAAAACAACGATGCGTTGCTCGCAGCCTTCCATGTATAGATGGAAGAACCTTAGATGGAAGAACCTATAGATGGTATAATAGATGGAAAATAGTACAAAACCTTACATCTACAGATGGAAGGATCTGTACTTTTATTATCGGAGGTTCACTCAAACGAACTTTGCCTGCATCTTAAAGAACTTAAAATGAACAGAAAGGGGGCAGAGTGGTCAGGGAAAAAACCGCTGTTAGGGACATATTAATCAAAATCAATAGGGAAAAATTGGGCATGACCAGCGCACGCAGCGCGTAGTCATTGTAACCGCTGGTCATTGAGGTAACTTATTCGGCTCCAGGAAATTACAACAAACGGGTTAGGGCGAGGCGGAAGTTAGGCGGGCTGGCGGTATGAAAATGTTTGCGGGTATAACGTGGCAGCCGAAAGCAACGCACCTTGCGGGTTGTTTGGTGGAACATGGGAGAGGCCTTTGCCTTGCAAGTTTAGGCGCAGTCAGGCTGATGACGATGCTTTTGTACTGACCGCAAAAGTGGGCCCGGAGAGCTCTGTCTTCTAGGCAGCAGCATTTACTCTTTGTCTTATCTCTTTGTTTGTTTTTGTTTTTTTGTTGAAACATCGCATTTGACTAACAGTCTTTTTTTTTTTCATGGAGTTAGTGCGGGGTACATTCTGCCGGCTACTGCTTTTGAATGAAGCTATAAGATGGAAAAATATCTGCGCTTTAGAGGTATACGACACGCAATGAAAGAAGACAGCAGATTCGGCATTTAGGTATATAAAGGTATATTAGGAGAGTCAAGAGAGTCCAGTTCTCAAAACGGAGGCGTGAACTGCGTTTTTTTTATCGTTCACGACATTCTATGCGAATTATTCCGAGGTTTAAAAGACAATTTAGGGTTCGCACAAAGTACACAATTAGTGGTGACTTGATATAAGAGGAAGGTAGACTGTCTAGTGTAGCATAGTGAGATACGAGTATCGCGTCAAATTGCGTCTGCAGATTGACGCTAGGTGGCGGAAAGGATTATGATCGATAAAATGCGCATTCGTTCGTTTTTGGTAGCATAAAGTTCCATGGGGATGCGTATGCACCTTTATGAGAAAGAAGAGAGAGAGAGAGATAGAAAGGAAGGCCGGGGGACATTAACCAGATATTAGCAATCGGTTTGCTACCCAGCAGTGGAGGAGGAGAAATAGGCGCAAGAAAATTGGCGTAGAGAGAGAGAGAGGGAGAAACGCACGTGCACTCAGGAGAAAACAAGAACGCACGCACGAAGGGCGTTCTGGTTGAAACCGTTCAGAAAGGCCGGTCGATCGCAAGAAGTCTAGTAGCGCTTACACGGCCTTCTTCTGCGACGTTGCATCCTGTCGATATTGTAAAATTATTTCTTCCGACAGAGGTTGATTATCTAATTTGCTGAGTTCCTTGCGAAGGCGTAGTCGCTGTCCACTATCTCTAGGGAAATGGCTGTCTTGGTTGGTCATAAAATTCTTCCTGTCCCCGAGATTCGAACCGGGGACCAACGCCTTTATGGGGTGTTTACTGCACGAATCCTGCTCTCCAGGAGACCCATCAATTAGTCGTCTTGATCACGTGTTGGTGTAACTGGCCTAACTCAATTCTTGGCCAATCCTCACACTAATCGCTGTGGCATACGCACAGTGTGAGCCACAGCGAAAAGGTGAACAAGAACAAGAGCGTTCGTACCGACTCATGATAATGATAGCTAATGATGATGATAATTCATGATAATGATAATGTTTGGTTTGCACGCGGACTAAGGATCGACCTGAGCAAGTCCGCTGTTGAAAACGGCTTTCTTTGTACTTACATAAGAAATCTTGCAACCCTTCTGAAAGCACGGTTAACTTCATACGAATTAGCTTCTAAATTAAGAGAACGCCATTTCTCTCTCTCTAATGGAACTTCCTTGCTAACCTCGCGCTGATTTCGCCCAGCATTGCGCAATGTAGGGCCTAATGGCGAACTGACATTGCCCAACCTCGGAGTAACTATACAACCGTTGCCGATGCTGTATCCTTTGGGATTTAAAACACCGGCTCAAGAGACGGGCTGTGTCTTCTCTCTCGTTGCCTGTCGCGTTGCGCTGCTCCGTGTAAAGAGACACATGAGGATATAAATAAAAGAACAACGCAGACAGTGGCGCACTACTTCGACTTAGATTTGCGCAAGCAGATGCGTTTTCCCGCGTATAATCTCAGGGACATTTATTTCACGGAAGCCCGCATCTGAAGACGGGGCTAAGTTTGGAGCGCAAGTTATGCTCACAGCACCGCTTTACCCTAATACAGGAAAGGCAGTTTCATTCTAACCCGTTTTGTGAGTGTGAGTGAGTGAGTGTGTGCGTGCGTGTGTGTGCGTGCGTGCGTGCGTGCGTGCGCATTTTCTCACGATCGAAACGCGGCAGCGCTAGCCGGGAGTTGATCCCACGCCCTCGAGTTCTTGTTTAGATAGAGTTACTGTGAAACTGCACATTACTGCATAGACCGACGCTTGTGTTTCAGTCTGTTCTTCTCACACTATTCTTTCCGTTACTCTCAACAGGTTCAGCGTGGGAGATCGGACTGCTTGAGAGCGTGAGCACCGCATCTTTAGATCCAAGCGGGACATTGCCCACGCTTGAAGGAATACAGGTATTTACAATGTGTCAATATGTGTGCACGTTGTATAAAGTCTCAGCGCTCATTGGTCCTGCAGGGACTAGTTTTATTTTATCACGGCATTACCTGTAGTTAATATTTAATGGCGTCGCAATCGATATTACAAAACAAAAGGATGATTCTGATTATTCAACTAAATGCGATGATCGGGATCCTTATTGATTATCTTAGTATCGCGTTCAAGAAGCTGTATAGTTCCTCCAGTGATAACGATTCTGAGGCTGTCACTTTCGAAGATGTCGCCTAGAAGTGTCCCTTTTATGGACCCTCGATTGGTCGCTTTAGGAGAGAAAGGCGAGTAGTCTCTCCCTTTACTGGGTGCTCGAGGTTCTCATACGGCACGTAAAGGTGGCTGCTGTCGCCGAAACCCATCGTCTTGGAATACGACTGCTGATCAACGTCCGTTTGAAAGACTGACAGCGGTGAACGCAACGATTGCGTCTTCGGAGAAACTATATACTCGGTCCATTTTGTGGGACTTCCAATCTTACGCAAACGAGATCTTTCGCCTGCGTACTTTTACACCACTTGGACCAACGCTTGTATACCACTTGCGAAATGTTGTTACTACGGCACTGCAACGTTTAGGCTCGCCATGTGACAGCGTGACTGCTATTGTGTTTCCGCGTAGTCACTCGATCCTCAGGAAACAGGTGTCGCGACTTCTCTTGAAATTTTTGAATGCTACACACCTCGCATGTGACTGGTGATAAGTGACGATTACGTTTGGGGTATGGTGCAGCGAATCAGATTACCGGCACAATACTGCATGTGGAGTAGCACAGAGGCCGCCGGCTTATGCAGGCTTACGTCGCGCTATGCACGATTTTTATTTTTAAGAGCCTGCTCGTGCTTAGTTAAAAAACAAACAAAGGACATTAGCTACAATTAGCAAAGAGGAAAACGGGTGGGGCAATCGCCTGCAAATTATGGAAGGCTAGATCTACTGGCTACCTGCAACATCCTAAACCTTAAATTTTAGCACTGCGCGTCGCAGTTCCGAAAGTAGATTTCATAAATATTTAATGCCGACACTGAGTTCAATAACGCAACCTGTTTGCCTTATTAATTAATTAATTTATTTATTTATTTATTTAATGTGTTCAAGGAGTGATTTATGCCGATGCATAGCTCAGGCGACTTATCTTACCTTACGTAACAATTTGCGTCACGAACTTATGAACTCACTTTTATTTCAGACCACAGGGAGCATTTTTTGTGAAATAACGGTAAAATGCATTCCCATTTGTAAATTCATAGTTACAATAGGTCTACATATGCTTAAGTGGTTTTCTGAACTATCTGCAAAAAGATAACTATATAGCTTATCAAAAATGCCGCTCCATCTGTTATTCTTACACTTCCCACGCATAACTACCGACTTTTAGAGGATCCGAAACGCGTCAGACATGTGCTACATTGGGAATTACATGGTCAGTAATACTGGACTGCTTCACCGTATACACATACTTGGTGAACGTTAGGGTGCACCTGGCCATCAAGACTCTGAGAGCCGTCTGTTATTGCGTCACTCATAAGCATATCGTAGTTTCGGGACATGTCAACACGAACAATTAATCAGATGCGTTGGCATTGCACATGTCACTTTAAAAAAAAGAAAAAATTCCCCCCCCCCCCACCCCTCACCGAGTCAGATGAGGTCTATTGCGAATTTTGAGGGCTATGAGCTTGAGCAAGATGCAGATACCGACAGCTCAATGCGTGTTGCAACTGCTTGACACCATCACTCCAGTTCTCGCAATCCTTCAGAGGTCTGCTTTTGAGCACCCAAGCGGCATCATAATGGCTTCACCATCGGCAATATTTTGGGTGCATGGAACCGCGCATGCAAATAAATGCTACGAATGTGCTCAATTGATTAAGACACGGATGTGACTCACCGTCTGTGATGCTAAGCACATAACTGCCGTTTTGTCGATGGCATGAGTGGCATTTCTCTCCTTCTCTCTCTCTATAACTTTTATTCCCTTACCCAGCGCAAGGTGGCCTACCAGGCTCAGCCATGGTTAACCTCCTTGCGTTTATTTCATCCTTATTCTCTCTCTCTGAGTGCAGTTGTGGCTATCCGCAGCTGTAGCACAGTAGTAGTAGTAGTAGTAGTAGTAGTAGTAGTAGTAGTAGTAGTAGTAGTAGTAGTTGTTGTTGTTGTTGTTGTTGTTGTAGGTTTTTCTTTTCAGCCACATACTAAATGCCGAATGGCGATGGCGTAGTGATTAGAGCATCCGCCTCGCATGGAAGAGGTCCTTGGCTCGAATCCCGGTTGCGCGCAGTTCCCAACCAGATTTTAAAAAAATCCGCGTGGCGATGGTACTGCATTCAGAGGCCTGCGGGGTGCGGCCTCACCGGTGACCACCACCGGTGACGCACTCCCTCACCAGAGAAAGATTGGCCACCCTGGTGCAGTATCTAGCCACTACCTCCCACATGCATACGTCAACTAACTCACGGCACTCAGTCCCCAGCAGCTGCGAAGCAACAAACTACGGCGGCGGTCATATCTGCAAGGCAGCAGAGGGTGATAAGAATCTATGGATCCGGGCAGGCTGCCATTGGAACCTGGACTTGGCAACCTTTAACGCTAGAACCTTATCTAGTGAGGAAAGTCTAGCTGTGCTATTCGAGGAATTAGAGGGTGTTAAATGGGATATAATAGGGCTCAGTGAGGTTAGGAGGACAGATGAGGCCTATACGGTGCTACAGAATGGGCACGGCCTTTGCTATCGGGTCTTCGCTCACAGAAGAGAATTGGGAGTGGGGTTCCTTATTCACAGAAACATAGCTGGCAACAAAGAGGAATACTATAGCATTAATGAAAGGGTGGTTGGTATCGTAATTAAACTCAATAAGAGGTACAAGATGAAGGTGGTACAGACTTACGCGCCTACATCCAGCCATGACAACGCTTCAGTTGAAAGTTTCTATAAAGACGTCAAATCGGCAATGAGCAACGTAAAAACACAATATACTATACTAATGGGAGACTTTAATGCGAATGTAGAGAAGAAGCAGGCTGGAAACCAGGCAGTGCGAGATTATGGCATCGGTACTAAAAATGCCGGAGGAGAGCTACTAGTTGAATTCGCAGAACGCAAAAATTTACGGATATTAATTACCTTCTACTGAAAACGAGGAAACCGTAAGGGGACATGGAGGAGCCCTAATGGCGAAAATAAGAATGAAATAGACTTTTTTATGAGTGCACACCCAGGCATCGTAAGTGCTTGGCAAAGTACGATGCAGTGACCATTAGAATGGTACGGTCTCGAATTCGCCTAGACTTGAAAAAGGAACCACAGAAACTGATACGCAAGAAGCCAATCGATTAGCAAGCACTGAGAGGGAAAGTAGAGGAATTCAGTCTCACTTCAGAAGAGGTACTCGGCTCTTATAGAGGAAACCAGCCTTAGCGTTGACGCAATGAACGATAATCTGACGAGTATCATTACGGAGTGTGCGGTGGAAGTTGGAGGCAGGGTACTTAGACAGGACACTGGCAAGCTGTCCCAGGAGACAAAGAACCTCATTAGAAAGCGTCAAAGCATGAAAGTCTCAAGTACAGCAGACAAAATAGAACTGGCAGAGCTTTCGAAGTTGATTATTAAAGGTAAGGTATTTAATGTAGGAAGGTATAACATGGAGAGAATTGAACGCGCTCTGAAAAACGAAGCGTCAAAGCAGTGAAGAGGAAACTTGGGGTAGGCAGAAATCGGATGTATGCACTAAGGGACAAAGAAGGGAAAATAACTACCAATATAGATAGGATAGTTCAAATAGTGGAGGAGTTCTACAGATACCTGTACAATAGCCGGAACAAATCCTACCTTAATACTATAAGAACTAGCAGTAACCCAGACGACACCCCACCATAAATGATAGAAGAAGTCAAAACAGCTTTGGAGAGCATGCAAGGAGGTAAAGCTGCTGGTGAGAACCAGGTAACATCAAATCTGCTGAAAGATGGAGGACAAATTGTGTTAGAAAAACTAGCCACCCTATTTACGAGGTGCCTCCTGATGGGAACAGTACCAGAGTCTTGTAAGAATGCTAACATCATCTTAATACGTAAGAAAGGAGATGACAAGGACTTGAAGAATCACACGCCGATCAGCTTGCTCTCCGTAGTATACAAGCTGTTTACAAAATAAATTGCTATCGGAGTAAAGAAAACACTAGAATTCAATCAACCAAAGGAACAAGCAGGATTTCGAACAGGCTACTCAATGATCGACCACATTCATACTATCAATCAGGTAATAGAAAATGCTCGAAATATAGCCAACCACTATGCATAGCCTTGATAGATTACGAGAAGGTGTTTGATTCAGTAGAAATATCAGCAGTCATGCAGACACTGCGGAATCAGGGCGTCGATGAAGTATATATAAACACCCTGGAAAAAATCTACAGAGGCTCAACTGCTATCATATTGCTTCATAAACAAAGCAACAGAATACCAATCAAGAAGGGTGTAAGGCAGGGGGACACAATCTCCCCAGCGCTATTTACCGCGTGTTTACAGGAGGTTTTCAGAAGCCTAGAATGGGAACAGTTAGAGATAAAAGGTAATGGAGAGTACCTTAGTAACTTGCGCTTCGCCGATGACATTGCATTGCTGAGTAACTCAGGGGACGAATCGCAACTCATGATTACGGAGTTAGACAAGGAGAGCAGGAAGGTGGGTCTTAAAATTAATCTGGAGAAAACGAAAGTAATGTACAACAACCTCGGAAGAGAGCAGTGCTTCGAGATAGGTAATAGTGCACTTCAAGTTCTAAAATACTATGTCTACTTAGGGCAGGTAATAACCGCGGGGCCGAACCAAGAGATGGAAGTAACTAGAAGAAAAAGAATGGGGTGGAGCACATTTGGCAAGCACTCTCAAATCATGACTGGTAGATTGGCACTATCCCTCAAGAAGAAGGTATATAACAGCTGCATCTTGCCGGTACTTT